GTTCTGATAGATCTTACAGTTTCATCTAGTCGTTTCAACTGTAAAATTATGAAACCTATCTGCCAATCTAGTACTACACTTGAATTTTTAAAGTCACGGTACCAAAGGGGAACCGTCCTGGGTATGACGATAAACTACATCCGCTTCCTGGGTAAGACGATAAACTACATCCGCGTCCTGGGTAAGACGATAAACTACATCCGCGTCCTGGGTAAGACAATAAACTACATCCGCGTCCTGGGTATGACGATAAACTACGTCCAACAGCAAGGCCTCTGATCAGGAGCTTTTGAGGAGCGTAGAACCACCTCTTAATTGCTGGCGTTCCCAGGTCCACCCTGACCGGGTTGGTAGCACCTGTTAGGGTCCCAACTATGGGCAAATAGTTAACCCCCAAACTGGGGTCAAAACATTATGTAAGTATAAAAACAGGTTTCAATACCAGAAATACTTTGTAAAATAATTATTACAAGCAATACATTTTTGATGAAAGATATTACCAGAAATAAAAAATTTTGTCGGTATTAAATAACCCATTGAGGTTGTTATGCCGTAAACCAAACCAAACCAAGCCAAAGTGGAAATCTCATTAGAAGACTTACCATGAAAATATTTATAGAAAAAGTACTGGAAAGATACGTTACGGCGGTGGGAAAGTACCTGAAACCGAGATGCCAGGTCAGGACTTGTAATACTATCATATATAATATTTATAACATATATAGTATTACTAATTGATTTGTTAAAAGAAAACCAGTTGGCTGTAATTAAATGAAACTCGTTAATTATCGTACATATAAAAGCATTAAAGAATCAGTAAACATTGAGATTAAATACTATGTTTCAACAGAATAATCGATATTTCTCTACTTGACACAATTGGACATCCATTGACAAAAATCTATTTAATCGGTTTAATAAAATTTTATAAAAAATTATGTCACCAAAAAAGAATTGGATCAAAATCGTTAGACAGAAGCAGATTCCATTGTGTTTGAAGTTTATTTGAAAACACCAAGGAAATCAATTGGGCTATTTAATCGTGTTTCAAAATTCTATTAAAATTCAACCAATTCATAGATTTTAAAGGAACATTAAGTACTTTTTATTCGATTACTGAAAGGAATTGAAATTTCAGTTAAATTCGTTGACGCCAGTTCAAAATGTCGATCAATCATAATTCGTGAATTATCTATCTATCTATCTATCTATCTATCTATCTATCTATCTATCTATCTATCGATTCTTCTGTTTATATCTATCCACTCACACACACGCATATATGAGAGTCAAACATGATTGTACACAGGGATAGGCAAGTTTCGAACATAGGTAACACAGAAAAAACTTTATGCTTGCCACGTGTTCAAGTGAGGTTGTAAAAGTGAAGCTGAAGTGGCCTGAAGAATCATGACGGTCACATAGCAGAGCGTTAGCTTTAGGGATAAATGATGGAATTAATAAAATTCTGAATGAAAAGCATCACAAAAAAAAAAGCTACCAAGTGAAGAGATGGTCTTCTGCAAAGAAGTGACAATCATATATATATATATATATATATATATATATATATATATATATTAATTGATTTAAAATATGTTTTTTTCCGCTACACAGTTCTAACCATGTTTCAAAAATGGAAGCTAAAAGCCCCGGATTTAATTTTGTATTTTATATTTCTGAGGACATTCACTTTTATAGTTGAGTAAACACGAATTTCTGCTTTTTTTTTTTTTTTTTTTTGTAAATGGAGGTGTTAATTTTTTTTTTTTTTTTGTAAAGGGAGGTGGTAATTTTTTTTTTTTGTAAAGGGAGGTGGTAAAATTTTTTTTTTTGTAAAGGAGGTGTTTTTTTTTTTTTTGTAAAGGAGGTGGTTTTTTTTAAAGGAGGTGTTAATTTTTTTTTTTTTTGTAAATGGAGGTGGTAATTTTTTTTTGTAAAGGGAGGTGGTAAAATCTTTTTTTTTTTGTAAAGGGAGGTGTTAATTTTTTTTTTTTGTAAAGGGAGGTGGTAATTTTTTTTGTAAAGGGAGGTGTTAATTTTTTTTTTTTTTTTTAAATGGAGGTGGTAATTTTTTTTTGTAAAGGGAGGTGGTAAAATCTTTTTTTTTTGTAAAGGGAGGTGGTTAAAATCTTTTTTTTTTTGTAAAGGGAGGTGGTAAATTTTTTTTTTTGTAAAGGGAGGTGGTAAAATTTTTTTTGTAAATGGAGGTGGTAAATTTTTTTTTTTTATAAAGGGAGGTGGTATTTTTTTTTGTAAAGGGAGGTGATAATTTATTTTTTGTAAACGGAGGTGGTAAATTTTTTTTTGTAAACGGTGGTGGTAAAATTATAGCTATTGGCATCGACTAATACGTCAAGGAAATTGATTTTATTGTTAATGTTGAGTTTGTAACTAAAGTGTTGGAGTTATTCTCAAAGGCTTCCTTCTGTTTTTTTAAATTTCTTCTAATCTGTTTGCATTTATGAATATGCCGTTGATATAGCTTGCGTGTATGGGTGGCTTGGTGGAATTATCGAAGACTTTGTTTTCCACATGACACATGTAGAAATTAGATAGAGTCGATTCAAGTCCTGATTCCATAGTTTCGCTTTCGTTTTGTGTAAAAGTGTTGCCACAATGATAATTGTGTCGTGCAGAATAGAGGATTTCGTAGAATACTTAGTCTAATTTTAAGAGGTGGAAACAAATGGCGATTGGATATGTTTTGTAGGACAATGTCTATAGTTAATCTATCGGGGAGATTAATAAATAAAATTTCTCGTCATTCGTTTTTATAGACTATAGTATGTGGAGAAATTCGCTTGTGTCTTGAATGCTACAGATCTTAGAAGCAATTTATATTTGAAAAAATTAAATCCGGCACTGAACAGAATTAACTTGACTACAGCAGTAATGTTCTGAAATGCCTATAAAGGAACAGTTTTTCACGCTTTAATGCGCGCATGATATTTATATCATAGGAAAAAATTCCATAATGGATAATTTGTCAACAATTCTGAATTTAAAATCATAAGGAAAAATTATGATAATGGATAGGGACGCACAGTTTTGTATAAATATTGTACCCCTGAACAACATATAGCTTTTTACTACTTGCACCCCTGAAGATGATCTTGGAAGAAGATCGAAAGTACTTGGAAAATGAAAATAAAAGCAATTTAAACATTTATAGCATATTTCTATCATCTTTTAATATCAATACACGGAAGGTTATTCGTGAGTATGAACGGATTTTGTTAAAAATTAGCAGCACACACACACACACACACACACACACACACACACACACACACACACATATATATATATATATATATATTGAAACTTTTAAAACCATTTATTTTACATTCAACATCATCACTTGATAAGACACCGGAGGTGTTGAAACAAAATGGCTATTTTGTAGTGATTTTATAACATGTTTATGTTATAATTTTTAAATAAATAATTATACACACACACACACACACGCACACACACACACACATATATATATATATATATATATATATATATAATTTTATATGCGCAGTACTTAGTGGAAAGCGCACAATATCAGCGATATAACTAACATAATCAGTTGTATGAGTTTGTGACTCTGAGTTTCAGGCATTTACAGTCATCAGGCAAACTGGTCTATTTTTTTTTTTAAATTGGATCTATTTATGCTTTTTTGACTATGTTTGGTGGTTGGAGGGGGAAGCTACTTCTATGATTGTTTGGGATGACACTCTCAAACGCATAGACACGCATGCATACAGGTGCACGCATTTTGGTTCACACAAACATCCATGTAATGACACCGAGGCTAGGCGCAGATACACATTCGGGCTTACATATATACGCAGTTGTAATTCTATTTCGGTGTCGAGATTGTAGCTTTTATATCTGTAGCGATGTCCCTTTCAACAAGGAGCGAGTAGGGGTGTTCTTGACGCTTTTCAGATCTACAACCTTCGCCGTCAGAGAAACTTCCACTTCATCACACACATATATACATATGTAGACGCGCATATACACTCCTATTGGTCTGGCTTTTTGGTTAAGCTGGGTTTTATTTGTGGTTCTATTTGTGGACATGGTGATGATGATGTTTGTATTTTCAACGCTAACTGCTTGTGCGATGTTGACAATTGTGATTATGCTGATAGTGATAATAACTGTGATATTAATTACTTATTAATATGTTAATAATAGTTGTTGATGTATTAACTGTAAATTTTGCCACAATTAACCACAATTCTGGTCACAAACTCATATCCATACAACTGAATATAAAGAGAAAGAAAATGACGAATGAAACCGACAGACGATGGACTGCTTCTAAGTTCTCGACCCAATGAAAGAGATATTACCCCCAAAATTCTGATATTTGTTTATTTGCTCAAAATATCTGACCAAGTAATCAAACATAATAATTTTCAGGTGAAGATCTCTTTTATCGAGTCAAAAAATTTGCACTACACCATCGTCTCTCTCTCTCTCGCTCTCTCTCTCTCTGTCATTCTTTCTTTATAAATGTGTGTGCTTGTCTGTGTGTGTGCGTGCGTGCGTGTGTGGGGGAAGAAAGAGTGAAAACGTAGAGGAATATCTTTTGTAAGGCTTAAGCTTGGCGATTCCAGGTTAAGCTTGGAGATTTATCATTGCTAACAATGACCATAAAGCATGTCAATAATGAAGGCTGCCGTGGCTCTCAATTTAGAGAAGATACATTCGCCAGCTTAAAACAATGCTTACCAAAGTTAGACAACAAAACAAAACACGGAGAGAATACATGGAAATGAGCGATGACCTCAAACAGAAGTCGACATGTTTGTGAGAAACATCAATATTAACTAGGTTTTGCAGATTTTTGAAGTAGCCGACTGTACTGAATAGTTAGGCTGGAAAGATCGTGTTACATCAGTTTTCAAAGTGAGGCAATCTCAATCTCCGTTGAAATTCACTTTCTGTAAAATTGGTCTTTATTTTATTTCTTGCACTGAATCTTGACATTATCAAGAAGAAGAAGAAGAAGAAATTGTGAGGCAAAATGTGAAGAAAGAGAAAAGAAGAAAAACATTTAAAAATCTATTTGAAGATAAAGAATATAAAATGGAGACAACAAATAGATAAAGATGGAAAGACAGAGATGTGAAATAATAACGAAGAGGAGGGAAATGCGTAGAAAGAATGAGTGGAACAGAAAGAAGAAAAAAGTCATGAGGAAATACTCAGAAGGTAAAATGGAGAGATCAAAGAAGAAGTAGAAGAGTGACAAAAAAGATTGAAGAAACGGTAAGAAAGAAAGAAAGAAGAAAAAGATGGAAGACGAAAAAGATGGAAGACGAAAAAGATGAAGTAGAAAAAAAAGAGTAGAATAGAGATGTCAAAGAATGAAGAAGAAGAAAAAGAAGAAGAAGAAAAAGAAGAAGAAGAAAAACAAACATTGAAAATAAAAAAATGAAGAAAAAATGAAGTAAAGAATAAAGAAAATGATGTAGAAAAAAGATAATAAAACAGAGGCCCAAAAGTAAAGAAGAAAGAACAAAAAGAAAGCAAGATTGAAAATTTAAGGTGGAAAAAAAAGATGTTAAGAAAAGAATAAAGAAAAGCTAAGGTGGAGAGGTCAATAATTTAAGAAGAAGAAGAAGAAGAAGAAAGAAAGAAAGAAAGAAAGAAAGAAAGAAAGAAAAAAAAGAAAGAGAAAAAGTGTGGGAGAAAAATAAAAGAAAGAAGAAAAAAAATGAAGAAAAATGATGGTTTTTCTGTTTGTTTTGGGCCATTTGATGCCGAAATTTATTCTTTTTAGAAAAATAAATTGCTGGTAATTTTTTTTTTCTTTTTTTTAACTATGAATAAGTTTTGCTGGTATTTTTACTATAAAAATAGTACTGGGTTGGTGCATAATTATCAGACATTTTTTTAAACAATATTTATTATGAAAAAAGAAATATAACAATTCAACACTAACATTTTTAAATGATTATTCTGGAGCGAATGGTTCTTGACACGTATTTATATAATCTGAAAATAAAACAATATTTTTATTAAAAAAGTAAACAAAACAGCAACTCGCCTAGAAAAACGCCTGATAATTATGCACCAACCCAATATTTTTATACACTTTCATAGCGTTTCACTATTTACCTATAATTGGGACCCTAACAGGTGCTACTACCCCGGGTCAGGATAGACCTGGGAACAACAGCGATTTAGAGGTAGTTCCACGATCCTCAAAACCTCCCGATCAAAGGCCTTCTTGCTGCCGGGTGTAGTTTACCAGGACGGAAAAATTGTGGTAAAACAGAGAAGTCGAAAAATAAAGAAGATGAAGAAAAAGAGGAAGAAAAAAATATAGATAGATAAAAAAAAAATAAGGAAGAAATAACAGAGAGGAAGAAAGAAAGAAAAAACACTTAAAAAGTAAAAAGGATAGGTTTAAAAACTTAAAATTGTAACGAAGAAGAACCATTATACCAGCATGAATACTCGAGAAATCCTTTGTTTTCAGAAGTACTGATTACTTTTTTAATATTGTCGGCAAGAAATGAATTTCATTAATCTGAAAGTGTTCATCACCGTCGCTGCGGATGGTGTGTACGTCCTATAGCTTTTGTGCTCACTGGACCAGAGGTGAATAGTGCGTAGGTTGTCGCGCGGATGACGACGTCCAATGTCTTCAGAGGAGTCCAGATTTATGCTATTGTCGCTGGGATTAAACACTTTGATAATGTCCTGGGTCACCTTAGTGCAGTTCTATCTCTCCACATATTTTATTTTAAAAAAAAATGTTTTCCTTAAGAGCTTATTCCTGTCGTTCTGTTGCTGTTATTGCTACGACAGCTGATATCCCAGTAATTGTTATTAGTCGTATGCGCATGCGTGAATATGTGAGTCGGTTTTGTTTGTTATTGCGAATTATTATAGACAGGCTTTTACCTCCACCATTTCCCATTGCCAGTGTTCCTATAACATGCGAACGCTGAAGTCATAAGAGGGAGGGAAATGGGTGTAACCACAGAGGCCAAGGGGTTTGTTAGAAAGTGATGTGAATGTTAGTGTCCATACTGGTAATGACTTTTCGTTTAGTATGTTTATGTATATATATGAGTGTGTATATTCTCTCTCTCTTTCTCTATCTGTGTGTGTGTGTGTGTGTGTGTGTGTGAGGCGATGGAAAAAGGAGGTGTACAGAACGAAATATTGCTGGGGGTGACCATAAAATAGATAAGGAGCATAGATAGATAGATAGATAGATAGATAGATATTAGGTTGGTGCAAAAATAATGACGTAATAATGTCGTTTTTTGACGTAACGTCAAAAACGACATTATTACGTCATTATTTTTGCACCAACCTAATAGATAGATAGATAGATATAAAAATCTAGGAGAGATAGGAAAAAATAATACAAACACACACGCAGAGAGGGAGGGAGAGAGATAGTGCTTGAGTGAGTGAGAGAGAGAAAACGAAAGAGAGAGAGAGAGGAATGGGAGAAAGAGATAATGAGAAAAATTTTAGAGAAAGATGAAAATATTCTTTTCACTTTCACTCTCACTCTCTCGTTTTATATATATATATATATATATATATATATAATTATCATTATTATTATTATTATTATTATTATTATTAAAGACAACAGACAATTACCATGAAATTATTTATAGAAACAGCACAGGGAAGTAACTTTATGACGATTGAAAAATAACTGAAGCCGAGATGCCAGGTCAGGACCAATAATATTGCTGATTCTCTTTGGATTTTATCAAGAATCTCTAAATAAATTACAGGAGCATCGGACCATAGGTGGCAAAAATATTGTAAGCATGGACGGATGGTAGACTTATAGATATGTAAGATAGTTTCTGGAGAGAAAAGATTGTATAGCTTTAGGACCGCATCTTTTGCTATTAAAATGCGTCGTCTGTTAAAACACCACCCATATATTAAAACGTTCGTGCTTGCTTGATTTTCTCCAATTCGTAGCTCGTCTTTCGCCCGTCCCTCTCGCTAATGACCATATATTCTACCTTCTTACGTTTTATGAGTAGTCCTATCTTCTAACTTTCTTTGTCTCAATGTTCCTGGAGTTTTTTTTTGTTTTTTTTTTCTGTGTTTGCCGTCATCCGTTCACCTTACTTTATTAAGACTGTGTCCACCAATAATAAATTCTGTTACGACTTCTAGTTCTCTTAGCATTGCCTCGATGCAAAGGTTGAATAAATCCTGTGAGAAAAGATACGCCCATTTCTGCAACACTATTTAGGAATGCAAATAACATTTCTTAGTCTTTGAACACATGAAATAATAAAAAGGTTTAACACGGATCCTCACTGTGGAGCAATGGTTAACAAATATCGCTGCTTAGTATAACAATAGGGAAACTGATAATTATTAGACGCTCAAAATTTATGACCTTGAACAATACTAAATAAAGCCCCGTAAATACAAATAAAATGCTGAAATTAATATCGAATGACAATAGTTCAATAAGTGCTCAAGATAAGGAAGAAACAAAAACGAGGCTTTGATGAGACAACGAATCAAATAAAAATTTTTGATTTTCCGGTCGGAAAAATTTGTACACGCGGTTACAAATTAATTTAGCTCTTTGTGGCGTGGTTCAATTCAGCTGAAAAATTACTGCTGGTCATTAAAGTGACACTTCATATGCCCACGGCATATTTTAGGGACAATTTAGTTGAAATGGTAAAAAAAAAAAACAAAAAGAAAAACCTCGTTTAAATAATATAGATTCATTGCACTTTCCTGTTAGCGACAGTTAGGAATTGTCAGAAATAGAATATTTTATGCTAACCAAAATCTGTATAACACTCTGTCATTTTCCCCCTATAATCGTGGCGGCACTGAAAAGTTATCAATGCGATCTACTTCCCAATATCTGATCAGATGACTAGAGCACAAAATTACAGCGTGGAATTCGGTCATGGTCGGACTGAAAACTTTTCAGTACCCTACGTATTTATTTTTGTGTCTTACATGTAACTCTGAGATTATAAAAGATTATAATAAAAACATTTTGAAATCGTTAAACAAAAGCTTTCATGTTTCAATACTATGAATGTACTTCTTCAGGCGATGGTAAGTAACTGGTGATTAAATGATTTTTAAGGAAGTTTGAAAACAAAGTGTTACCTCCAAAAGTTAAGGGTGGAGACATAAGGTCAGAATTAAAAAGAGACTTGTGGGTATGTCTTCACACACACACACACACACACACACACACACACACACACACACACACACACACATACATACATATATATATATATATATATATATATATATAAAGGGAAGCGGTTATAGAAGTTCCAACGAGAGAAAAGTGTGTATAATAAAAAGAAGAGAGAAACCGCAAACGTTTTTTGCTGTAATGTGGATTTCTTTAAAAAACTAAAAAAAATATCATGCTTTATTTTCCATAATTTTGCTACACGGGTTTCCGGTCGCGTGACCTTCTTCAGGCAAAGAGTGGATATTTCCACATATTATTAAAAGGAATAGATTTTTCTCGTGTTTTTCGATGTTAAATATTCTCGATATTAGACATTCTCTTTGTTGTGACTTAGTAATCCAAATGTCTTTCTTGGACTGGCAGTGAAAGAATTCTGCGTGAAGGATAATAAAACAATTAAGACTGGTCCGAGAAAGGATGAGTAAGATATATATATATATATATATATATATATATATATATATATATATATATATATGTGTGTGTGTGTGTGTGTGTGTGTGTGTATGAAATACGGATTAAAATCTGACAGAATAGTAGAATAAAAAACAAATCGGAAACCTTTATAAATCTATCATGCTTCGCTTTTATTTAGCTTAAATAAAAGTGAAACACGTTAAACGCACGTTCTCACGCACACACGTGCATACATACGTGTGTTAGATATAAAAAAAAAACATTCACGCGGATATTTATTTCAAGAATATACGGACATTCTCGCAGTTCGGATGTAACAACTTGTCTATGTGTTTTACGACAACGGCTAAAAATGAAATCCAACGTTTGAATAATGATAGCCAAAAATACAATGCGATTCAAAAGAAAACCTTGATCGAACTTGAATATAATGAAGCAAAGCACAATGCCATATCAACCTAAATATTAATGGTGACGAACTTAAACGCAGGCAAATAATTACTAAAAAAAACTTTGCAACTTATACCAAGGAAGAGATGAGGAAAAGGAATTCTTAAATCTGGAACCAAATTACCATCTCCAGTCTAAATATGACCCCCGCACGAAGGAGACTGAAACTGAAATTCTACACCAGTCATAATCTCAACTGGAAATTGATAAAGTCATAAAACTCTATCCCAACCTCAGAGATCTTTTCCATATAGAAGATCTGTCTTTTAGATCTTCTATATGGAAAAGATCTCTGAGTTTTGGAAAATTTTAAGAATACAAGAAAAAAAAAAAAATCAAAAACTTAACCGAACTACATTGTTTCGCCTTGTCCACAAGCTCAAGGGTACATTCTGTTTCCGGTCGGATATTTGATTTAATCCAATCGTTCTTAACAGACATGTTAATGAAGGTCGAGTTGAACGGACATGTTTCTAGATGACTTCACATTAATACCGAAGCCCCCAGAGTTCCTTCCTTCTACCCACGGTTTCTTATTGTCATCAATGACATTCCTGATTTTATCAGTTCCTAACAAGGTATATATATATATATATACCTTGTTAGGAACTCAGTCTCAGCTAGCCATTTCATTTCAAATTATAGCAGGACAGACTGGGTTCTATAGCCTTGGATGGCAACTGGTCTAGGAGAAGGACAACTCTGAATTCAAAACCTGCGGAGGGTCGTTTGGGAACCTTGTGGCATTCGGTGCACCAGGTCTCTGTATTCGTCCCTTCAAAAAGTGTGGATGGTCCTGCACGAGGCCTTCACCACTATAATCAAATCTCATGTGCCGTTGTCGGGTTGTCGGTTTCCTGGAAACTGATCTGCTTGACCCTCATACGTCGAATCTCGACGGGAGAGTCGATTATATATATATATATATATGTTGTAGGATCACAATATATATAAATTGTAGAAAAAATTTTAAGTAACATCACTAAAAATCTCAATTCTTTACAAAAATTGGCTCATACATACATCACCTATTTTTTTTTTGCAAAAGTAGTATCACACAAGCTCTAAATTCAAATTTCCACATTGGCACTTATTAACCAATCAGCGACATTATCTCAAACACCATTTAAACAGATGACTCTTCTTGTTGGTTGCTACAAACATTTGAGAGATCAATCCAGAAAATGATTAACAATGTTTTCCCTCCTAAAAATAGAAATGAAAACTTTGGAAATATAACCAATAAACTTCTGAGTTTAGTAAATCTAACTTTTAACTTCTTGTTATTCGATTTTTTTCTCATAAAGAGCGTAGCGTAAATTAAAGAGTTCATCGAGAATATAAATAATACTGATTACTCATCTTTCGTACAGTTTATCTCTATATATAAATTGTAGCCTCTGTCTGTCTGTCTGTCTGTTTGTTATCGAATTTCTCCTAAGGTTTTGGAGATAGAACCTCCATAACCATATATATTTTGAAAACACATTGCCAATTGGTACTTGGATAATTATATTCCATTTTGTGTGAACATACAAGTGAATACTGAGATCAACAACGAGTATCAACAATCTATTTCAAACTTGAACACAATCTTCAGGATATGTGTCTGGTGCAGCTTCAACTATATATATATATATATATATATATATATATATATATATATATATACTAGTTATTCAAGAATTATAACATGTTATAACGACACTACAAAAATAGCCATTTTGTTTCAATACTTCTGGTATTCTGTCATGTGATGGCGTTGATATGATAGCAGAATAAAGACTTTTCTATTTGCTGTATTCTGTATTGAGCACTCTTTTAAGAAATGTGTTTTTGTTATCGGAATTTTATTTATTCCGTCTATACCAATCCTATACTTGCACACACACACACACACACACACACACACACACACACACATATATATATATGTGTGTGCGTGTGTGTGTGTGTATTGTATATTTTATAGATACAAATACAAAGTAAAATGCTCCGTTTATAATAAACAATATTAAACAATATTTATCGGTCTGAATGTCCGAGAAATTTTCACAAAAAATGTTCGTCCTCCGACAGGATGCGAACCTGTATCCTATACGGAACCGTTATTTAGCTTGACGTGCCTTTACCGATTTGGCCACAGAGGCGCATTCGGTTAGCAATATATATTTTAATTGGTCATTTCAGCTCATGTAACAGCATTTTCCCTTTCGAGTCGTGGTTAACTAGTTTGAACCTTTTAAAACATTTATCC